GGTGACTCCTGCTTGCATGCAGTCAACCCTTGACACTCTAATATTGCGGACATGCAGCAACACGCAGCAGACTGCCAAGCAGCACAGTTGGGGCACTGTTCCATATCTGGCTGAATGCTCGTTTTGAAATGGAACCAGTCCAATTCTGCAATGCACAGAGTAACTACCTTCAAATTAAGCTGGTTTATATATACATATACATACACACACACACACACACACACACACATATATTATGGGGTTTTAACTGACCGACTAGGAAGCACTGAGTTGGCGATTTGCACATCAAAACATGTCTTGGTGTCTGGGTTAAAACTACAATGAATTTGGTTGAAATATGAACACTTTTAAGATGTCTAGGTTATATTTAACAATTTTCAAATTAAATCCACCCTGCGTCGTCTGCTGTCAGTTAGGCTGATGAAAGTTTCAATAGTTTGAGGTCATAAACCTGAAGGATTGGCCACTTAAAACTTTGACCTGATGTTCACACTAGGATCATTAGGATTCATCCTCTAGGGACCATGAATGTCTTTACAACATTTATGGCCATCCATCAAATATCTGTTAAAATTACACTGCCACGATGTTAGCGTTGCTGAAAATCTTTTTAGTTTTCATGCAAATTTTGCCAAGTTTTAACTTACACCTCTGGGTGTTTTTCAACTTGCAAATCTCTGTATCAGTACTTTCTGGGAACTGATGACTGAAGATGGTCATCACAGACATAACACATACTATTGTGTTGTGCTGTAACAGTAGTTCACATTGTGACAACAAGATTATAGTTTTCTCACTTCTTTTTAACTCCTTAAACATCACTAATGACAACAGAGGTTAGGACACAGACAAGTGAACAGGCCAAGGGAGTGAGCAGCCTCTCAGGATGGTGCTTAACCATACAAGCCTATGGGTTGTGCTTGTGTTTCTGGTGTGGCGATTGGGCTTTTAAACTCGGTGGCAGCTAAAAGTGACTAAGAGCTGTTATAAGGTACACGCTACTTACACATATAACCCTACTGGGAGAGCCTATGGAGGAGCCTGGTGGAGAGATGGAGGCCTCTGACAGGCGTCTGTGCTGTGAGGTACAAACAGACAGAGAAAAAAAGGAAAGGGGAGAATGCACACGTTGTAGAAATTACAGTTTTCATTTTACTTTGACATTTTTATTTCAAACTCTATCTCACCCTGAGTCTCCTCTCTGCCCTCGCCGCCTGCTTGCATAATGGGTGCCACACCTCACATCCTGAAGAAGAGCCAGAGAAGGAGAGAAGACTGATTATTGTAGGGTGTTCCCACAAGCCATGCATTCATACTGGCCAAGTGTACTCTACAGTATGTGTGTGCATGTCAGAGTGGGGAGGTATAGGCATCGAGTTTCACCTGTCAGGTACATTTCCTCTCCCTCTTTGAACATCATGTTACAGCGGGAGCATCGAGCGCAGGTCGGATGGTAATGTTTCCCTCCCGCCTGTGAGGGGGAGAGAAGAATTTGTGTGACTGAACATAAAGTATCATCATAAACTGTTTCACAGAGTGAAGGCTAATCTACAAAATGCGGCCCCACCTTGAGCAGGTTGTTATCTCCGTATGCGTGCTACTGTACATCCCCTGACCACCAATAGCAGGTACCATTAAGTCATTTATTGATGATTAAAACAGAAAGATGTACGAGGCTTGCAGTTGCTGAATAGACATTCGAGGCGTTGTGGGGAAGCTACGATAGGGAAATCCGCCGTAGTACCCGGGCACGACAGACCCCCAAAAGCTTCTAGTTACGTGAGAGCATTGGCTGATCTGAGGTCTTGAGATCTGAATGAGTGTGATGATGGTATGTTTGGGAGGATCAGCGGCGCATGATATGTATTGGTGCTCAGGAATGACGTTGTAATGGATGGGAGAAAGCATGACGAGAGTACTTGGCGGGAGTGGTGGTGGCACCGGTAATCGAGAGGCCACTGGAACTGACTCGGAGACAATCTGGCGTGTTGTACTCTGGAATCCCAGAGTTGCAATGGTTCACGAGGGTCTTGCAAGGAGTCAGGGTCATTGGACTCCAGAGAAAAGACAGATGTAAGCAGGCCCAATTATATGGTTTCTTTAGTAGAAAGCGGTGTTGTTTGGGTTTGAATGACGCCAAAGGTTGACATGAGGGGAGATGCAGGGAGGTGAAAACCGAGCAGGTGTGAACGTAGCTTCTAAGCTTCTTCTGATTACGTTGTGATGTGGCGGGAGCTCTTCAAGCTGGCCTCTAGTACGAGAGAAAGCTATGCTGTTAATGTTAAGGTTTTGGTGACCATTCCGCTGTGAACCATCTATCAATATAGAACCCCCAAACCGTGGACTGGGAACGCTGGTAGGCTTTGGCATCCTGGAGCCGGAAGCCCCTTCTAATTGTAACAACTGTTCCCTCGAAATAACTTTAGTGTGAAACTTCTGTTCACCTGACCAGTGGCACAGTTGGGTTGGCAATGACTGGGAATGAGCCGTGGTGGGCTCCGGCATCCCGGTGCTGAAAGCCCATTTTAGTTTCGAACAACTGTTGACTCAAAATGATTTTAGCTCGAAATGACTATTAAAGGTCTGTTTGCTTGAACGACTTAGTTGAAGAGACTGCTCGCTCGAGACAATTTTAAGCTCGAAACGACTTTAGCTCGAAATGACTTTGCTTGAACACTTAGTTTGAAACACTTGTTAGCTTGAAAGACTGTTCGCTCGAATGATTTTGGATTGAATGAAATGACTTTTTGCTCGTGATAGCTCAAAAGCTGTTAGTCTGATGTTCGCTCGAAACGACTATACTCGACGTAAGCTCGAAGCGACTAAGCGTTTAAAGAGACTTTTGTGCGAAGCAACTTTAGCGCAAAACGACTTAACACGACGTAAGTGACTTAGCTTGGATTGACTTAGGTTAAAGACGACTGTTAGCTTGACCTAAGCTCGAAACGACGTTACCTCGACGTAAGCTTGAAGCGAGCGAGTTCAAAGCGACTGAGACAACTTTGGTTTACAATGACTTGTTTGTTGGAACGACAGCTCAATGTTTGCTCGAAACAACTGTATGCTTGATGTGAGCTCGAAGCAACTGAGAGGTCGAAGTGGCTGGGAGCTCAAGCGGCTGATAGCTTGAAGCTACTTTAATGCAAAAGACTGTAATGCAAAACGACTTTAACGCTAAACGACTTTCTTGACGTAGGATGGAAGCGGCTGAGCTCGTAGGGACTTTAACTAAGGGTGACTTGGTTTAAAAAGACTGTTAGCTCAATGTTCTCTCGAAACGACTGTTAGCTCGAAACGACTGTGAGCCGGATGTTAGCACGAAGTGGCTGTGACCGGATGTTGGGTCGAAACAACTGTTAGCCGGATGTTAGTTTGAAACAAATGTGAGCTCGAAACGAATGTGAGCCGGATGTTAGCTGAAACGATAGTTGGCTTGAAACTATTTTGGTTTAACGACGGTTGGGTTGAAGGACTGTTAAAGCTCGACATTCGCTCAAGGCGACTGTTAGCTCGACGTTTTCTCGAAACGACTTACCTTGAAGACGACTTAACTGGAAACTACTGTTTGCTTGATATGATTATAACGATTTAGGTAAAGACGACTCTGAACGCCTTAGCTAGAAAATGCTGTTGGCTCAAAATGACTGAGTTCGAAATGACTGTTAGCTGAATGTTAGTTAGATCCAACTGTGAGCTCGAACGACTATTTGCCGGATGATGGCACAAAATGATTGTGAGCGGAATTTAGTTTGAAACAACGGAGCTTGGAGCGACAGTGAGCTTGAGATGACTGTTAGCCGGATACTAGCTGGAGATGACTGTTAGCCAGATATTAGCTCGAGACAGCTGTTAGCCGATAATAGCTTGAGACGGATGTTAGCACGAAACGACTGGGATCCGGACGATAGTGCGAAGTGACGCTGGCATCCCGGTGCCTGGAGCCCCGACTGAAGTCAGTTGATGGTAGGCGGCCGGGGGCACTAGCATCCCGGTGCCCCGGCTGCAGCCGGTTGCTGAAATCACTGCTGTGGTTCCTAGAAGTGTATGACTGGAGGTGATGGCATCTCGGTGCCAGTAGCCCCTATTGGGACTGGCTGCTGTATAATGTAAGCTGCTGGTGCTGTTGCTGTAAGCACTGATGCGAGGTGGAGGCTCCGGAATTCAGTTGTTGGAATTTTCCTGTGATACAGACGTTTACTATCTTGACCTGGAGGAAATACTATATGTGAACTGTCCCTTTAACAGTGGCGCTGACGTCACGGCGTGCGTAATGCGTCACACGGAAGGGAGCAGGAGTTGACGGAACTGTGGGCATGCCATGCTGACATGATAGCATTGAAAAGTTTGTTGTATTGTCTGTTCTGTAAACGGGATTCTTTCATCTTTGACAGTTTTCTAAAGAGTGACTCTAGTCCGTTTCAAAATCCTTTATAAAGACTGTTCGATGCAGGACCTCACTGGAGCAGGGTAACGCTGTGATGGGCTGTTCTTGTGAGGCGGAGGATTCTCGGGTGAAATGTTCCCGATTGTTGAGATGAAGCGGATAATGGAAGAGATGGAGTTAAGCTGAACTCACCCACTTCCAGGCCGGCTTTACGATTGTGGAAAACGGGGTCTCAGCATGGAGACGGAAGAGAAGAGTTCGTCTTCTGGCGCAGGGTCTGCTGCCGTGGACGTTGAAAATGACGTTGTGATGATGTTGTGAGTTCGTCAGAATAATTCATCGCCTGATGGCGATTTACCAACATTTCTCGAAGAGGTAAGTGAATGGATGGAGTAGCTTGTGATGATTCATCGTATGGTATAGCGGTTAGCATAGCGTGCTTGACAAGCTGTTGCTTGGTCTGAGTTCGGGTGGGGAATGCGAGAGCCGTGCAGGATACGAGAGCAAAGAAGAGGAGTCAGGACGTGTGGGTATTTATGGAAATGCTGACGATGATGTGGTTGATGTGTGGTCCCGCTCCTGAAACTCTGCTAATTAGCACCTAATGTATTGAGACATCATTGCATAGCCTGGAATGGTTACATCAGCATACAGTGACTCACGTGACAGCCACCACCCATTTTACTCCATGCCATAATTAGAGCAAAGATACCTGTAGGTCAGACACATGAAGATGGGAGTGTGTGTGTGTGTGTGTGTTTGTGTGTGTATGTCTACGCTACAGAGAGAAAGAGGGAAGTAGGTGGCCATGTAAGTGAAGGACACGTGTCCTTGGACAATCAGAGCTCCCCGAGGGAACACATCCAAACACACATGGTGCAGGTGAAATGGACACATGAAATGATGCAGTATGATGTCACTCCATTAATCCAGCCCAGTTCAGGGCACCGATGTTTCTCACATGTGTCTCGGCAGGGGCCGATGGATCCCGTCACCTCCGCCTTTCTGAAACACCATTAGAGAGTTTCTATTTATAGAAGCACTGCTGACATGTGGCCCGTGTCAAGGAGACCTGAACTGTTCCTTCTGAACACATCCAGTATGTGCGTGGTGGGGTATCATGTCATTTTATGCTGCCCTGCTTTTCATAAAACGGATACTTTTATGTGATGTACGGAAATCGGGCTGGTTCTTAATTGTATCTATGCTGCATTTGAACCAATCCCTGCACTGCTTGTCTGTCTCAGGTTACTCTGAAAGGAAAGGATGCAGCATTTCCGTCTTGTGCTTTCCGAGCAGCCGAGCGTTTACCGTCTGTGGTCAAACGGTATCAGTTCAACAACTGGTGTTACCATTTCTAATGACGCTCCCATTCTCTCCAGTGGCATTAACAGGCTGCTATATTGATTAGCTTTCAGGGGAAGGAAAGAAGTGAAATTGAAGAAAGGAGGTTTTATGGTTCTCTTTCCTCTGCTTCCTGTCTTTATTTCTCCACTTCTCCATCTATTCTAAACTACTCATTAAATTAACCACCCCTGGCTCTGGAAAGTTGGACTGAAGAGAGGTTCCAAGCCTATTCATTAAAACAGATGAAAACATAGGCAGATTAGTCTGGGTTTTCAGTGTCGGAAAGTAAAGAAATCAATACGGCAACTCCACCAACATTATAATAAAATTATACTTTTAAACAGATAAACAGATGATAGATGGCAAATGATGTGTGCTACTGATTGAAATGGTTAATGTGAAAACCAGGTTTTTAGAAAGCTGTAGGAGACCATATAGGCACAATATAATTTGCTTGGAAACAAAGGCGGTGAGTGTAAAGTTAGCTTGGCCCATAGAGTCACAATGGCCACATTTGGGAAAAATGGCAGGTTAAAATATACCCGATTTTTCCTTTAAATTTATGTTGACTAAACAAAATTTAAATGGCTAAAATTTTACTAAAACTAATATTTTTGTCAAAAGAATAAAAGTCACTTCAAGTCAATTTTATATAGCTTGTATTACAAATCACAATTTTTAAAGGGGCTTTACAATCTGTACAATATCTGTCCTTAAATCAGTGGTTCACAGACTGGGGGGCACAAACCCCTGGGGGGGGCATAGAAACACTACGAGAATGGCAGAAAGTTTGAGAACCACTGCCTTAGACCCTCGATTCTGATAAAACACTCAAGAAGAGCAACAGAGCAGGGATATGTACAGAATGGGCCGCTGTAAAATTATAGTATGAACAATCAGGATGACAAAATGATCAACAATCAGATTTATAGATAAAACTAAATTAAAATCAGGTGCAGTTAAATGGAATTACTATGTTATTCCTATCCTAAATACATACTGTATGTTTGGAGAGTTAGTGTTACTGCGTCAGACTTTCTGTGAGTTGCACGCTGCAACTTAAAGGAGTAAATCATTATAATATCAAAATTCGACAGGTGAAAGGGATGAGCGACATGCATGCAAGCGCACACAAATGTTCAGAGAGTGAGAGAAGAAGACATGGAGGGAAAGGAGGGAGAGAGGGAGACTCACAGATAAAAGCTGACATGTCCCCATATCTATAAATAGCCCAGAGAGGCTGATAGTCAGGAACAAAGCACTTTACACCAGCCATTCTGACAACCAAAGGAGCGCAGGGACAACAAGGCCCAGTGTGTGTGTGTGTGTGTGTGTGTGTGAATGTGTCCCTGCGCGTATCTGACAAAGTTTTACTACGTCTGCTCACTTTCCTCAGCTCCCAACAGACACAAGACACCCTCCAGAGCCTCCTCCAAAACATTTAATTAGCATCTGCACTTTATCACTTTTATTATTTTCCCTTCACTTCTTTCTGAAACCCATCTTCATCTGTCCGCCTCAGCTCCTTCTCCTCTGCTCTCCTCTCGTCACTGTTGACTCCTTCGTCTGTCTCTTTTTAAAATTGCTTCAGAAAAAGGGCATGGAAAGCTAAAATGTGCATTTCAGTCACTGTTGGATTTGTGTTCTCTCCTCCTTCCATCTTTTCCCTTCACTCTCTACCCTCTGATCTTTTTATAACTCCCCTTTCCCTCTCAACTCCACGTACATGGTTATGATTCCATCTAGCTTTTTGCCTCTTGCTTGTGTTCTGCTTAACTGTGCCTTTAGACAGTGGAAATGGTGAAAAAATACATACACACCAATGTTTGACCAGGCTTGACCAGGCACTGCAGAAGAATTTGTTTTGGTTTAGAAAAGCAGAACAAATTCTTATCGCCCCCCAATCTTAAATTGCTCACTCCCTAAAGCACAGCGGGCTTAAATGGAGCCGAGGATACAACACAACTGTTCAGTTCTGATAATGCTGAACACTCAGTTAGCACAGTCAACTCCCGATTTGGATTTCTGGATCGCTGCAGAATTCTGTGCTGATAAATCTCCGTTAACACCACCTCATTTTGAAATCTGGTCCAGTTCTTACCTCCAGAACCCTTCCACTGATGTATCTGCTGCAGGTTTCACATTTCACCCCATACTGGGCGTGGTAATCTGCCTCACAGTATGGCACTCCATCCCTGCAATATAGAGAATCAAAAAAAAACAAACAACTGTATGTCTTTTTGAATGTCTTTTCTGAGTGAGACAGGAGAATCAAATGCTTTGAAATGTTCTTTTTCTCTTTACACACTCACTTGCTGATGTACTCTCCGGTGAGGACCATGTTGCAGGTACGACATCTGAAGCAGCTGACATGCCACTGTTTCTCCAACGCCAGGAGAGACTGACCCTGCTTGATCTCATCTCCACACCCGGCACAGTCTGGAGACAAATAGTGTGTCAGGGAAAAAACAAAGAAGAAGGGTAAAAGAAATAGGAAGAGGGAAGGATGCAGATAGAGAAGAGAGGAAGAGACAGGGAATGACAAAGTGAGCCATGGTGTTATTGTACATCTTTAAACACTGCTCCTAAATGCAGTTTTCTACCCCTGTGGCACAGCCACCTCCTTAATCAATAGCCGTACTAATGCGGGATATTGCAGAGCTGTGAGGCTTGTTCTTTCAACTGTAAGCACTGTTAAACATGATTGAATACAGACAGGAAGCAAGTATCACTGAAATAGCCTCAGGGCTAAAACAGTTGCATAAAATCCCCCTCACATGAGACATGTATGAATCTCCCTCTGTCTATTTCTCGCTCACACACACACAAGCATGCATTCCACTTCCCGCAGTAAGACGTCTCAGCAGGCATTACTGACCGCCACTAACAGTGCAAGAAAGAAGCAGGACAGCCAAGAGCCTGCAAATGATATATGGCTACAGAGAGTCGAAATGCTGAAAAAAGGTCAATGCTCCATTTGTTTCCATTTGGAAGGCGTTCGGCTTAGCTTAACCTTTTCTGACCCGGTCCACTGCCCCTGAGAGAAGCCTAGCGTCACAAGGGACCACTACACTCTGCCCTGTCAGCCAAGACAAACTGTGTTTTGTAGTAAAAAAACTGCAGTGTATTGAGTCATCTGCAGAGTGGGTTTCTGCAGTCCAGATAAATCTTAACTGTCATTAGGTGGTGATTGTGCTGAGTCTATAGTGCCAGGATTTTAGCCCCAGACTGTAACTGTGCACAGCTGAATTTCTTCTGAGTCATGATACATTTCCTATTTTAGCCAACAAATGAAATCGGTATTAGATCATGTAAAAATGATGTAACAGAGCTTGTGACAAGAAATTTTTAGGTATGGTTACATAAACTTCACACTGAATGACAGAGGAAAGAAAACAGCTTCTGTTATTGCATTTCTGGCCACACCCCAGTCTGTGATGTCACAGCAGGTGTTTTCATCAGCTGTCAAAAGAAAAATATGACATTACTAATTGGGGCATAGCCAGATGTGCAACAGCACAGACATGAGTGCAACAACAACAGCCTCATGCTCTCTGGGATAAAGTGCTTTTTTTTTTAAAGGAATAGTTTGACATTTTGGGAAAGAAGCTCATGAGCTCTCTTGAGTAAATGAGAGTTAGATGAGAAGATCGATTCCACTCTCATATCTGTCCATTCAGTATGAAACTACGATAGCAGAAAGTTAGCTTAGCTTAGCATAAAGACTGGAAACAGGGAGAAACATCTGACTCTGACTGAAAAAATCCACCCAACAGCACTGAGAAGCTCGCCAATTAACACATTATATCTTTTTTGTTTAATCACAAAAAAAAGAAAGTTGGGGCTGATAGGCAGATCTTATTTTTAGACAGAGCTAGCAACTGTGCTTAGCTAGCAGCCTGCTGATGATTGTAGTGGCATATTTTGAGAGATTTGAATGTTGGAAGAAAGCGAATAAGCGTATTTCCAAAATGTTTAACTATTGCTTTAAGGAGAAAAAAATAAGTATTAAGACAGGCAACTAACACTTTGATTAAGGTTAGACAAATTTTCAGGGTAAAGGTTTGGTCAGTGATGCATAAATAAGGGAACACCCACTGGTAACACCATGTTATTTAATGCCTGTTCCTAGCCTTTCCCCCTAAAATAATCATTTTGCACAGCCTAAAAGCATTCTTACCACTTTTGCACACAGAGCATGTACTTGCATTCTTAAATATCAAAATAAAGAGGAACAGTCTGTAAAAGCCAGTGCATTACATTTAGTGTCTGCACTCTGTGTCCCGTCTCAGAGACTGCCTCCTCATAAGACAGTGATGAACATGTAACTGGGGAGCCATTTGGATTTTATTCTCCTGAATGGAGCGATCTGGGGAGGACAGTTATTCACTGCCTCTCCACCATCTGTTATTACTGCACAGCTAGTGAGCAGCGGCCTGCTGTCTGTGTGCCACGCTGCTGTCTGTATGCCACACTTAACAAATGATTCACTATCAATCCCTATCACTCTTTTGTGGGATCGTAATTTGTCATTTTCCTGCTTTATATTGAAAAGGAGGGGGCTACGTTCACTCTTCCCACATAATGTTTACCAGTGTAATAATACACAGGAAATCCAGTTCATTATTTGCTTATGTAAACTATATAGTACATGTGTGAAAGATGTATGTGCCTATGCAGATGCACAGTGAAGACATAAATTCCTCTATGCCCTGCTTGTTGACAGTAATAAATGAATGAATGTCTGTTTGTGTTGCATAATTCTCAGCTGGCAGATCAGCACGACAGGTCAGACCACTGATTTGACAGACACTGCATTAGCTAAATGAGCTAAATGGGCCTCATGGACACATTGCATTAGACTCGGCGCACTCCAGCACCTGGTGGCCCTAAGCAGAACGGACAGAGCAAGGCGGATGCTGGACTTACGGCTGGGTCCGTGGATCTTGATCGGTTCATTTGGCTTGACGAGTGTGTGCGAGCACTGCTGGCACACGCAGTCCTTTCCGCTGAACGTCACTCTGTCTCCAATGGGGAAGGGTTTACTGTGGTTGAGTGGGAGAGAATTAGAATAAAAGCACACAATAGAAATAGAAATAAAATGCCTGCAGTGATTGTGTGTTTACATTACATCCAAGTGTACATATGTGAATAACAAATGGGTGCTGGCAGAAACATGATTGGGTGAAAGTCAGGCCATAATCCTGCTGACACAAGTTTAATACAGTCTGACATCCTCTATGAACCTGAAAACATATTTCCAAACAGTTGAGGCGGCGAGTTAAAAAGTTGTTGCAGGAGCACCTGGCTGCTCTGTGATTAAAGAGCTGATAATGTGACGCTGCCACAGGCTTCCAAAAGGAGAACTGGCTCTCTCAGAGAGAATGAAAACTTATTAGGGAGACTGCGTGGAGTGAATACTGATCTTAAGTGCCTCGTTCTCTCTCAGCCTGTCTGCCCAGTTCGCTCTGCCTAGCTCACTCCCTACACAGCTGGTGCCACCAGGTCACTGATTTCTTCCCCGCCTTCAAAGCTAAACTAAGATTAAGAAGAGTAAATACACACGCACACAGACAAGCAGAATACATGACAGCAAAACAGCACCTACTAAATTAAATTTACCATATCATGATGGTCTTTTTTGTCTCTCTTTCCTCTTCTATAGCATTTTCGTACGGATTTATGACTGGGGAGGCTGCGAGAATGAATGGGGATCTAAAAGGCTTAGGAAAGGCTGTTTAAAAGACATAGACAGCAGTAATCCTTTTACTCACCCGCTGAGGCCTGGAGCCCAAGCAAAGACTCAGAGGGAGGCTAGGGTCTCAAGCACAGCTCACAGTCAGCACACAAGAGTGCAGTACATCCATGTTAGAGATATACAGAGGCCAGCGTGAATAAAGGCTTATGTATACACGCAGCTGCGGAGTTTGTGAGCCCTAGAAATCATGTTTCTAGGAAGCTAGGAGTATTTTACAACTGTTTCTCTCTGAATATGTGTGTGTGTGTGGAGGGAAACGGCACATACGGTATTGTAGGTTTGCTCCTTTGTGCTTTTATGTTATTCAAAGAATGACCGTTTCCATACATAAAACAGAAAGTATGCAGAACAGAGGAGACATTTCACCACACAAATAATTCAGTAAATTCACAGGTAAATATTGAAAGTCAATGAAAACTGATAATGTGTATTATTCATTTAAACATAATGTTAATTTCACCCTTCAGTTGGTCCCAAGGTTAACCATCTGTTCAGAAACTCAAATGATTTACAGTTACTGACAGGCCACACTGAGCAAATTGCTAAACACAGAAAACTAGTCTGTGTTTGACATAAAGCCTGTTTTCGAGGTTTGTATGTGTCCACTTCCAGACATGACAGGCTAAATCTTTCACACGTGTAAGTGCCTGACCATAGCTACCCGAATAATAGTCCAACTTAAGCACACGAAATTTAGTGGTAGTGCACAGAAGAGTGCGTTTGACCTTGTCTTTACCTGTGCGTTGCTCTTCCTCCCTCAAGACACGCTTGCCTTGTCAGCCTTTCTCAGCACTTTAAAAATTTACTCTGTTTACATATTTAATGCATGTTTCTTTTCCCCATTTGAAAAAAGAAAAAAAGAAAAATGCCCACAGAAGTAAAGCTATTTCTGGCTTCAGCGACACGCCCTCTAGTTTCGATCACCGCGCTTCTTTAAAAACACCAGCACGGAAAAGTGAAACTTGCAGTCCGCCTTCATTAGAGCTGAGGGACGATGAGGAAGACATAAAGGAAGACGATGTGATGCGGATGATGATTTAGAGCAGGATGATGGTAATGATGAGGATGAGGAGGAGGGTGGTGTGGCGAAGACAGACAGGATGGGAGGATGAGGAAAAACAGACGAGGTACAAGAAAGGACTGTGAGCAATGTGACAGAGGGCAGACGGGGCAGGAAAGAAGAGATACATCCTTCGGCTTCTCACTGTCTCTTCCAGTTAACTCCACATACACTGACACACACACACACACACACACACACACACACACACACACACACTTCCCTGTCACTGCCAGGACTGCTCCACTAACTGTCTCCGGCCAGTTGGTGTCAGTTCTGTTTTTTGCCCACGGCTACTGGGCATGACCGCATGTTTATCAACCAATGTCAAGCAGATATACGACAACAGACAAACACTACCCTCCTGGAGGGAGGTGGGGAAAGATCGCCCTTATGTAAACCCTATAATGCATCAAAACAGATGGTGAGGGAGGAAGAGCAAAATGAGATGGGCGTTCCAACGAATACAGCCGTGTACATGCGAAACAAATAGACAGAAAGGAGCATGAAAGAGGAGACAGAGTGACAAGAAGAGTGAAATGGTGAAATAAAAAGAAGGAAAAAAGCCAAGAGGGATGCTGACTCTTCGTTCGTTCAAGAGGAGCTTAACATGAACACTGATGGAGGTCAGAGGAGAGATGGCCTACTTTTACTAAATCTAACAGCATGAAACACCAGGTCAGCTCTCTTTTTGGAAGCGTGTCTCGACTAAGCAAGACGACTGCTGGAGCATTTATTGACATTCAGGAGGTGAGATAAGACTGAATCATATAAGCTGATTGGCATTTTAAAAACTCTACTATGAAGAAATGAGTCACCTTTGCATTTCTCATTTTGCGTAGCATCGTTTAAGGAACGATTGCATGGTCATGGGGCAAAAAACAGTGACTCATGGCAGAGTCATACATTTCTTAGTCAGTAACAGGCTGCTTTCTTTATGGATAAAATAACACGACTTGATGTTTGTTTTTGGCTAATCCTGAATTTTTAAGCTGCTCCAACAAATATTTTTATGTTAATAATGGATTAAATTGCTGTGCATAAAGGTGCCTGTCATGACAAACTCACAGATAATTATCACCCAACTGCAGTTCCTCTCAGCTCAGTGGTGCTATTTTAGCATTTTTCAGCTGATGTGATTTACAGCCCATTTCTCTGTTGCTTCGGAACTGCTCTGATGAACCTTATTTCAGCAAACAGGTGTTTGATTTTGTCCAGTCAATTCTAAAGTCATCAATTTGTGACTCGAGTCTGACTCGAGTCTAAGTCACGTGACTCGAGCCCACACCTCTGCTGTCTTATACCAAAATGGCAGACAGAAACTAGCTGGTGAACATAGTGAGGCATTTAGCAGCTTACAGCCAGATATTTTTTGTCAGGGACTGGAGACAAAACAAAGCTTAAAGTAAGAAACACTACTCCAAATCAATAATGTTGATGCATTATTGCCCAATCATATGTATTATTGTAAGCTTGTATATACAGTAGGAGATTGTGTGTGTGTGTGTGTACCTGCAGAGACTGCAGACAAAGCACTTGGGGTGGTACGTGCGCCCCAGAGCGGAGACCACCTCTCCTGTGATGAAGCTGTCACAGCGGTCGCAGCGTGTGCCGTACAGACGCTGATAGTCTGCCGTGCAGATGTACTCGCCCTTCTTCTGGAAGAAGCCAGATCGTGCCAGATCACAGTTGCACACTGTGGAGAGAACAGGTTAGAGAAAATGGGAAATCCGGACAGTCAAACACTAAAGCATATGTCTATGAAGATTCTCAGTCATCCAGGTCATAGTTATCCAACGAGGGTTAAAATCAAGGGCAACTGGACTTGGTTGAAGATACTGGAAGACGTTTCGTCCCTCATCCAAAGGACTTCTTCAGTTCTGATTTTAACCTTCGTTGGATAACTAAAGCATATGGAATTACCTGTGGATGAAGAAGAAGTAGAAATGCTATTTTTTAACTTTCCATTCCAAAAAAACATTGGGGTTTCCATTTTCTGTCATGTACTCTTAAAATGAAATGAAATTACAAAACACTCAGCAGTATTAAGTATTTTACAAGTCCTATTTTTCAGTTGTTCCATATTTTGTTTAATTACACGTGTGTTTGCATTTAGTATGAGCACCCTCCTTTGTACCTGTTTGGGTATGCATGTGTGCTTGTTTGTACTGCGTGTGTATGTTTGTCTTTACACATGACTGCTAGGGAAGTTATTCGATTCTAGACAGTGGTGAGCCAATTTACTCTGATGGGAATATAATGATATAATCAGTGGAAAAGTCATTTTGTGCTAAACAATGTGAAGAAGGAGACAAAACAACAGACCGCAAGTTCCCAGCGTCATCAGAAAATCGACTCATTAAATACCAATGGGGAAGACACCGAAACCATTTGCTTTGTATGCAGAAGGTGAGTGCTCAGTTTGTGTACGCATGTGTGTCTCTGTACTGTGTACCCTAAGCAGAGAATATGTGCTGCAGCACTTTGCCATGTAACTGAGAGTGAATTCCAGTGGGTGTAACAATATAGCTAAGAGGCGTTTTCACAGATCAGTGGCTAGTGTGGTTGCTGGTCTCTGGTTTCTACTAGTTTGAGGTTTACCACCAGTTATTGTAAACACTGGCTGGAAAAAAATGCTGTGACCTGACACACATGGTACTGATGAGGGTCACATGTGCTGTAAAATTAATCCCAAGATTTTGCACATGTACATGTATAAAAAAAAATGTATTAAGCCAGTAAGAATTTCTTGAAATTAGCATAAAGAGAACGTAAACCTTCACCACTATTGAACTCTATTCAACTACAATTTCAACTAACACAACTACCACTGGAGCTATTTAGCAGATTCTCAGGAGCCAGATCACACCTCAATCATGCCACTCCCAGCTTTTCCATAATTACCCACCTAACCCATCTCCTTTTCTTCGCTCTCATATGTGCACCCCATTCCTTTCTCTATCTGGTTTCCTCATCTCCTTCTTCCTCCCCGTAGGGTTCAGAGGGGGATCTGTCATGGGTGCTATGGTGGATTCCCCACATAAGCTTCCTCACAACGCAGTAGCAAACCAAAGCTGCACAGCAAGTCCAAGGCCCGCAGTCTTTTTGTGTCATCAATAAATAATTTAAACACATCTGTTGATGGTGTGGTCTTTGCTAGTGAACCATCATCTAATAGCTCAGCTGGTAATGATACAGGTGAACCAATCAACCATTTCTGCCCAACAGAATACAGGGGTGAGGGTTGGCTTTTCGTGAAAATATCCAGCAGCTGGTTAGCTTAGCTTAGCATAAAGACTGGGGACACAGCTAGTGTGACTCTGTCAAATTGCAACCAAATCTGCCAAAATTCACAAAATTCACCTATAAGCTAGAGCTGAACGATTAATTGCATTTGTGATATTATTGCAATTTGATAAAACGAGATTTTCTGATTGCAAAGGCTGCGATTACACATAAAGCAGTGTGCAGACAAAGCATCAATTTTGCACGTTATGCTGTACCTTGACTTGTACAATGGCCTTAAGTTTGACAGAGGCAGACACTACAGAAACTTTAGTGTCACACAGGGAATGAAAGTAGCACCTGCCACCTGCAGGTAACTTGGTGGTGTTGGTGGGTGAAATCGTTGGGCTGTCCGCCGCTTTGGCGAGAGGAAAAATGCACAACAGAAAGACACATGTAGTAAGGTAAGCGTATTGTGACAATCGGCGCCTGCGTCACCCACACAGCCACCAGTCAGCTCAGGAAATATATTCCGAAAGAGGCCCAGTCTGTCCTGAGTCACAGCCTGGTTACAGCCAGTACACCGCTTACCAGCATCGGAGGCAAGTGGGGGTGGGGAACTCCGGTGTTGCCGGAGAATTACTAAGCATACCTATTAAACGTCACTTGGTTTTATTTTCAGTGGCCAACTTTTTTTGCTTACTGGGATATAGAAAAGGAGGTTTTTGATGAGAGATGGACTCCTAGGAGATGTGATAAGGGCTCATTAATTGGTTGAACTGTGGGTTTTGTATTGAGTGTTTACTGTACTGCGTACTGTGGTGAACTTGTGGACTGTAGATAGGCCGACCTGATGGTTTATATCATATTATTAATGCAATCACTTGACTCAAATTATCTTTCTCATATTATTAAAATTCAACCTGTCCAGGGTGTACACCGCCTTTCGCCCGATGTCAGCTAGGATTGGCTCTAGCCCCCAGCGACTCAGGATAAGCGGTTGACGATGGATGGATATTATTAAAACTTGATACTCCTTCTCAACCAGTGTTCATAATAATAATTTATTATGAGGGTGTGTCCTTAAATTCTGTATGCAGAAACAATGAGGCAGAAACTTTAGCTTGCGTTCAGCTCGACTGCAGTATTTATTCTGCAGCGCTTGCCTCCTACGGGTTTTAAGTTCCTCCCACGCACTATGCGCCACCTAGTGACCTCTTTAAGTATCGCCCCACCAAAGTACAATACAATGAAATTGGCCTTTTATAACTATTTAATACACAATATCATGAAATAATTATATGGGTGTCATTTAGCGATGAATGGTAGTATAATGAACTGAACTAATTAAATTAAATTTTTCTCTCTTATGCCTAACTGTGAACACATTTTTTAACCCTTTACACTCTCCCCTGTTTTTTTTTTTTTTTTTTTTTTAAATGTCTCCTGACATTTGCCAGTATGTCTTAAGATATACGTGAGTCTGTGACATGTCAATATGCATGGCTGAAGCAGTTGTAACAGTGAGGGTGCGGATGTGTTAAGTACAGAAGAGTAACAGTGTTGAGATGACTTGGGAGAGGGTAGCTTGGCAGTAGTGAGTTTACCCCTGCATTCTGCTGCTGGTAAGACGGCTGTCCCAATGTACCATAGGTGAACAGTTTTCTTGGCCTGGCTCTCCTTTGGAATCTTCTGACTGCCTCCACCTCCGATTGGTGTTCCTCCTGCTCCACTGCCATGCCCACTTGTGGCCTGTCCTGTTGCTCTTCCTCCACTTGATGTTCATCCCCCACTGTGAAATCCTCCAGAGCTCTGTCCTGTGTGTGTGTTGTGTTCTGAACATGATCCAGGGTGTCCTCTCTGACAGTAGGGTGAAACTCACAAGTTTTAACCCTTAGCCTTTGATCAGTCTGAGGATGGTGCACTGCTTGATAATGCTCTGCCTGTTGGGATCTCACTAACCTGTAGCATGGGATCTGCTGGTAAGTGTATTCCTCATCAGAGCTGTTTGTGTTTTCTTCATGAGCATCTGCAATGGTTTGTTTCTGTTTTTTGTCTTTGTTTTTCCTTTTGGACATGGTGCAGGAAGCGTTCCCTCCAGTGGCAGTTCGTTCACCGGCAAGAGTAGGTTCCTGTGTAGCACCCGCAGGGTTTTGGGTCCCTTCTCAGGTTGCACTTTATAAATTGGTCCATTATCAACTCTCTCCACAACACGGTGTCCTGCCTGCTCCCAGTAAGCCCGCAATTTTCCAGGCCCGCCTCTCTCTGACAGGTTTTTTACCAGCACTCGGTCGCCTGGCTGAAGAACAACACCCCTGACTGCTCTGTCATACTGACTCTTGCCTTTGGCTGAAGATTTTTCACTGTTGTTTGCAGCAATTTCATATACAGAACGCATCCTCTTTGCCCATTTCTGGGCATATGTCTGTCGATCGGGTGACTCAGGCTATGTCTTAGGTGGAAACAGTAAGTCAACGGGTAAGCGTGGATTTCGTCCATATAAGAGGAAGAATGGGGAAAAGCCGGTGGCCTCATGCCTTGTGCAGTTGTAGGCATGCACGTGAGGTAGGTGATCTTTCCACGGACTCTTTTTTTCTTCTTCCAGGGTACGCATCATCTGCAGAAGCATGCGGTTCAGTCTCTCCACCGAATTACCTTGTTGGTGGTATGGTGTGGTTCATGAATGACCAATACCAGCCAGCTGCTGTAACCTGTTGAACAAACTGTTCTCAAACTCCTTCCCCTGATCATGGTGGAGCTTCTCAGGATATCCATAGCGAGGGATGAAGTCTTCAAATATCTTATCGGCTGCTATTTTTCCCGATTTATTTCTTGTGGGGTATGCTTGAGCAAAGCGCGTGAAGTGGTCAACGAGGACCAGGATGTACTCATAGGCTTGACTTTGCTCCAGGTGGAGATAGTCGATGCACACTAACTCAAATGGACTGCTTGTGGATATGTGTCCCATGGGCGCTCTCTGTGGAAGATTGGGGCGTTTCTGTTTAATGCAGTTGCATCTTTTGTTTACATAGTCCTCTATATCCTGCTGCATATTCGGCCAATAAAACCTCTCGCGGACAAGATGAATTACTTTCTCTGCACCAACGTGGCTCATGCCATTGTGCAGGGTCTTAAGCACCATGGGTTTCCACTTCTCAGGGAGGACGAGCTGCCTGTGTTGTTCAGTCCGCCGATAGAGAATCCCGTCATCCACTTCCAGCTTATTCCATTCATACAGCAGTCTCCTTGTCTCTTTCCTCATGTTTCTTTTGTCCATTTTGTTGGGAATCCAGTTTTGAAGTTTTAAGGAAACAACTTCTGAGATAGCTGGTTCCTCTTCCTGTGCTGCACGGATGTTTTTTGGTGGAACACTGGAAATACTCGCAGGTGGTACAACCTCTGCACTTCCACCATCAAGATGCAAAGCTGCAATCCAAGGGACGTCACTTTCTTGAAGTGCTTTTATGCCTT